TTATATATATTATACATATATAATCAAGCAAGGCTAGTCAGATCTCAAAAAATATATTTATAGAATAACTCAATGATTATTCTCTATTATTCTCTAGCCGATTTTTATATTTTTTTGTGCCTTTTTGCATTAGATGAATCTATGCTCATGCATTTTATAGATCATTCTACGTATTACTTATCTATGTTTCAGATATAATTATCTTAAGCGTTACACACTGCCTAATAGATGTATGATACCTTTAGGAAGAGTACGAAAATGGCATAAATACACGCACACATACACTCACACACACAAACACGCGCACAGCCAGGACCGTGGGTGCTGAAATGCCAACCGGAACGATTGATAATATAATGCGCAAGAGGTAAAAACGGTGGCCCAGAGTCCTGTTCCGTCCCGTTCAGTTCTCTTCTGCTCTGTCCTGTGCCGTCGGCAGCCTTCACGCTTTAATTGGCTGCCGGCGACAAAAGTCATATATTGTGCACAAAAGTGTCACACACAAGGACAACAACACACGTACACACACACACATACACAGAGTAAGCAGCAGCCATGACAGGACTAGTGACAGCTGCACAGATCGCTGATGATGTCGCCGCATGGCTGCGACGGGCGGGCGAGCCGCGGGGATGTTTCTTTGATTGTGCGATTGTTGTTGATATCAAAGCGCAGAGCGCGAACCGCCCCGCAGCGAGCAGCCAATCAGCGTGCGCAGCCGACTTGCTGGCCGACGCCCCTGTCTCGATTAAAGCGCAGAGCAAGCGAGAGCGCACACACTCGCGCGCTCTCTCRTCGCGCTATCTCGCTCGCTCGCTGTGCCGAGAGCAGGCAAACGTTTTTGATCGTTGCCATATTGTGGCGCCAGGCAACAAAAGGGCGGACGCGAAAGCTGCGCGCAGCTCTCTCTTACTCTCTCGCCCTCTCTGTGTGTGTGTGTGTGTGTGTGTGTGCGCGTGATTCGTGTGCTTGTATTGCTATTGGGAAACCAGTTTATGGCCGCGATCTCATTGTCGGCCGCATTCGCCGCCCGGCGTCGCCTTCGTTAATTTATGCCTTTAGTTGCTTTGCAAGTCTCGTGCTGTTTGATCGTTCCCAGCGCGCGCAATTCCAAGAAACGTCACGAAGTTCGCTTGGCGAAAACACAACAACAAAATACAGCTCGCGCTTCCTTCCGTCGGATATCGCGTGCGCGCAGCTCTCTCTGTTGACTGTTATCAGCGGGCCAAGTCGCAGTGATTGGCATTTTGGCCCACAGAGTCATGTGAATTGTGCATTGTTCCTTGTGCTCCTTGTGTTGTGCGTGCAATTGTTTCCGCCCAGTTCAGCTCCTGCTCCGTGCGCCATCTGCCAAACGTAGTTCCTAAGTTAATTAATAAGCAAAACACATCAATCAATCGAAATGGATATGTCCAGCGCCAACTCCTTGCGACCGCTCTTCACCGGTTATCCCTTTCAGGGTAAGTTGGGGGCTCCCAGGGAATACTAACAAAAAGATGCAGATTATCAAATACTAACATAAAGATTCTGATCATCAAATACATCAGACAGGACCCTTCATTGAGGTTGAATTATATATTTTGCTTCTTAACTTTAAATTTGATATAAAGTTTAATATATCACAAATTATTTTTTGCCAGAAATAGTACATCACATCACTAACTAACGTAATTGTCATTTTAGTCCCAGTTTCTTACGTAAAATCTGCCGTTTGGATATTCATTGATCCGTTCCTGCTGTCATACTTTAGAAATCTATATACTCCATCCTGCCTTACTAACTCTGAATGAAATCCTATTCTATCACTTGAGCTGCACAAATGAACTATAAGACATCCTATTCCAGGCCAGGGACGCGTCAATCAGCTTGGCGGCGTCTTCATCAACGGCCGCCCACTGCCCAATCACATACGGCTGAAGATAGTTGAAATGGCTGCCAGCGGGGTGAGGCCCTGTGTGATATCGCGACAGCTGCGAGTCTCGCATGGCTGCGTGTCCAAGATACTGAATCGCTACCAGGAGACGGGCTCCATTCGGCCGGGCGTGATTGGAGGCTCCAAGCCGAAGGTGACTTCGCCAGAGATCGAGGGACGAATCGAAGAGCTGCGCAAGGAAAATCCCGGCATATTTAGCTGGGAGATACGCGAAAAACTGATGAAGGTGAGTGCGCAGTGGGTGATCGCCCCTCCCTCTGGTCCGCTTGCTGCACCTGCGCAGGAAGCAATAAAATGTGAGGACACAAATGGCACAAGGATTTGCAGTAGCTCTCTAACCGCATAGCATTATGTCCATTCAGTGCGGCAAACACAAACACGGCTTACTTCCGTTTTCCGAAAAGTCACGTGGCACACTCGGGCCTACGATCATAGAATCGGGTGCAGGTCCGGCCTACACGCCCGCCCGCTGGCTTTGTTTATGGCACGTTACCATTTCCATTTTCAGTTCCATCCATTTCGGCCCTTTGCATATGCCCTGCCTTTTGGCCATTTGGCCATTTGGCATATCGATGGACAGTTGACAAATTTGTTGTACAACGGCGACGACAAATTTTCACAAGATGCCACCCAAAGCGTTAAGAAATCGATTAAAGCATAAAAGTCGGCAAAACGCCAACGGGCTTCATCTCGGCCGCCTTTTTGTTGTTGTGCAGCGGCTGTGACTCCGTCCTATCCTTGAGGCCAACAAGCTGCAACACAGCGCAATATGTTTATTTTCGTTGTTGTTGTTTGTTTTTATGTTTTTTGTTTTGTATTCAGCCCTGGGGCAAGCGCTTCTAACTTCCGGTTCGACAAGCATCTTAGCATGGTGCAATCGGCCAGGTTGTAGCGTGGGCCAAAGCAGATCGTATTGCACATAACGGCACTGTGTACACTGCACAAAATTGTGATCACTTAGAAGTGCATATGATGTGAACAAAGTATTGAAAGAGGTTTTGGCAAATGAAGGATTTATGCCTTGAAAGGATTACATTGATAGATAGATAGTRGATATTTCAACTTGCATTTAAACATGTAAACATTTTGAATAGCACTTTTAGACTTGGTTAACTAGGCATAGGCTAAATATCTTTTAGGACTTTTTAAAAGAACTTGATTGTATCACCAGGCCCATGGATGTATTTTAGTTACCAGACTAACCAGCGATGTTCCCATTTACATTCATACAGTTGGTTAATAAAAAGTTAATAAACAATTAAGAGGAAAATATAAACTCAGTAACAAAAGCAGAGAGAGAAATAAAGAGAATGAGAGAGAGAGAGAGAGAGAGTGAAAGAGAAGGAGAGATGGGTGAAATAAGAATGATGTTACTGAAATGCCTATTACAGCTATTTTATGTACTTCAAGCATTTTGAGGATAGGACTTCAATCAATGTAAAGCTGAATGAAAATAAGGAATTAAATGATTGATAGAAGAGAGCTACAAAATACGTTAGTATTAAAAGGTATCGGTTTGATGCCTCTAAACTAGGATCAGTATTCGTCTCCTTGTGCTACTATCCTCTTCTCCCTACATGATTTTATATAAGCACTGTGCTTGACAGAGGTGTTTATTTTTTGAAAACAGAATTCGAACTTTATAATTTAATTTGCAATTCCTATACTTCATCTCAGCTAAAACGTATAATTATTTTTAATAAATGATCCAATTATCTCTCCAGTTTAATATATAAACCAACTTCCCCTCAATTTTCTCTGTGTTTATCTCTCCAAAAGTTAAACCATTTTCCATGGATCTTCTGCAGAAAGCAAAAATTCTCATGTGCCAGTCTACTCCCTCACTCACACACTCACAGATCCAGATCGAGGCAACGAAACGTTGTCATTATTTTTGGCACAAATTAGCGTGAAAAATATAAATATGAATTGTGGCCAAAAAATACAAAATAATAAAAATGAAACCAAAGAGAAACAGAATAAAAACAAAGCGTGGAAAAAGCCTTGAAGCGGGCTTTCGAAACTGATTTCTGAACCTACGCCAATGTTGTTTGCTCAGGGACTGCCAGACCGAGTGTCTCGTGCTGCCTACTGATCGGATGCGACTCCCTTGCGCTTGTCTCACTCTTAGCTCCTCGCTCTTCACTCTTCCATCGTCTCTTTTCGCTGCTCTTTGCTCTTTATTGAAGCCGCAATTAGTTACAGTTTATGTGGGGATCGCGATTCCGATTCGAGCGTCCATCGATGCGATCGGTCGAAGATATTGCAAACAGCCAAACGGCAAAAGGCACACGAACGGTTGCATCATTCGTCGAATGTATCTGTTAGCCGTGCATCTGCAGCTCTCCCTCTCTCTCTTTTTCTCACTCTCTCTCTCTCTTTCTCCTTCTATCTGTTTCTCGCTCTCCATCTGTGCCTGGCAGTAGGCGTAAAAAGTGCCTCCAGGTGCGCTTCACGCTTAATTAGAATACGCCATCGGCATCTCATGCTGTCCCTCATGATCGGGGCGTCGATGCGATCGCAGCCTGATCTTAAGTCGCTTGCCTCGTGGTTAGAGGCAATTGTTGCTGCCGCCTGTTCGTGATTGATTCAGGTGGTATTTATTGCATAAATCAATTGATTAATCGCCAGTACAGAATGCCCGATCGTAAAGATCACTTGAGCAGTGCAATTAAGTTTCATATGCTACAAGCAATACAAAGAAAATTCCCACATGCACTCTAAGCAGATGCAAGATAGAAAACATGAATTGAAAACATCATTTATGCTATGGCTTTAATCACGCAAAGAACTATGTTTGCGGACAAGAGCTTAGGTTCTCATTTCCGAGAAATTCAGTTAAAAATCCTCTCAGCCCAAATGAATCTTTGGGCATCACACCTGTCACTCAAATAAAAGGAGAAGTATATACACATACATATCTGCATATTTGTATATCTGTTTATATATATTCGAAGCGCACTCAAGTGTCAATCCGACTGTCAACTAATTAATTAAATTTCAATTGAATTTGTGTAGCCAGAAATCAAAGAGGTAACAAAATAAAATGTGAATATAAGAAGCAGAAAAAGGTGTCGCACAGTCGGGGGGCTGCGGCTCTTGAACTGGGAGCTCTGGAGCTGGGGGCGCGCCAGCCAGTTGTCAGTTGCTACAAGATAAGCTGTCACACATTCCAGCTGGCAACTGGTAGAAGCTGTCCGGTAGACCGGAGCCAACCAAGTGCCATGGGGCATAAAAAACGCAACAAAAGTCTAGTTGAAAATCAAAACATATTCCAGTTGCTGTTGTTGTTGTTGTTGTTAGCGTTGTTGCTGCAACCGTTGCTGTTGTTGTTGCTGTTGTTGTCATATTCATGACACTTTCAATAGAAATAAGAGCCAGTAGCCAGAGCCAGTGGAGCAGCTAACCAGACAGCAGGCAGGCAGAGTGCCCCTGCCCCTTCTTTCCCTCAGCTGGACAAAATGTCAGTGTCCAGCTTTGAGTTGGCTCTAAGCGGCGTCTGGGCCATGTCTATGAGGTGCCAGTTGTGGCACCTCAGCCATTACCTGCTCATAATTTTTATGTTACTGCTTATTATTAATCACAAGCAGCAAGAAAGTGAGAGAGAGAGAGGGAGAGGGTGAGAGTGAGAGAGGGAGGCAGAGAGAAGAAAATGTTTGCGGCACATGCCACTCCATTTGAGACGCTGACGCTGGGTCAGTTTTTTAAGCAGCTCCAACTCCAACTGCAACTCCAACTCCGACTCCGACTCCAACATCAACTCCAGCTGCAGCTCCACAGATCAGACAGCGATTAGCTGGGAGCTGCAGCTCAACTTGGAGCTGCGCTCTCGACATGTTGCTCTAATGAAAACTGACAGTTTTCGTCTTGCATTGCATGAGAAATCGGTTTGGATTTCATACGTTTTCTGTTATGATTTGATTTCGATTTAAGTTGCGCGGCAATTACGTGGAAAAGTGTTGTCGTTGCCCAAGCGCCATTAGAGTTCAAATTTAAATCAAATTGATATAAGCTGAGCACATATCGTGTATTACACAGGAGTTACGACAGTTTGATGGAGAGAGCTGCGATAAAAGATGCAGGCTGTGTAAGGCTCTTAAGCATTGAGATGGCAAAGATGTAATAAATGAAAAAAAAAATAAAATAAAATAAATAAATAAATAATAATAATTGTTAATAATAAATAAATCAAAATACTTCATCAGCTAGAATTATGAATATAAATCCATTATAGAAATAGAAATAAAAATATGATTTAGTTGAATTAAATTATCTTTATCAAACCAAACAGACTTCAATGAATACAAATATATATACATATATATTTATATTTATTTCTTTATGAGAGACTTGAATTAATATATAATTAAAATTTAAATGAGGCCTTTGGCTTCATATTTCTTGATATTCTTCTACATAGATAATGATTTACAACTCGGACAACTGCAACCGCTAGGAAAGGCATGCATATAGATTGTACAATTCTTAAGATATTTTACTTTCAGTTAACAAAAATATATAGAATATTCCTTTAATACTTCACTAAGGTGGAAACAGTTGATTTTAGAGATTTTATTAAAAATATATTGAGACACTTTGAGAAATATTATCAAAATTTTATAGCTTAATCTGAACATTTAAATAGTTCTTAACTCCAACTCCTTAATTCCAACGACATTTAATTTAAATCGTTTATCGACCAACAGCAGCTGTAGGTCGAACCCATTTAACAACCCAATCCAAATGATCGTAGGAATTTCGAATTAAAATCAATTTTCGTTAACTTTGCGATGCTTAGAACTTTTGATTGAAATATATTTTATAAGAGTATACTCAGTTCATTAAAAATATCTCTGCATTAGCAAATCCATCTAAGTACAGTCCTTAATAAATCAAAGTATATTAAAATATATTTCTATATATTCACTTGCATAAATTGCGAAGCTAAGTGCATTATGATTTACAACTCAAAAATGTCGACAAAACACCTGACATTCGCAGACAAATTCCGAGGCCCTGCTCAGCTTGACATTTCTTCTAATTGGATTACAGCACAGAGAGCTGCCAAGAGAAAGAGACAGAGTGGGAGAAAGAATGGGATAAAGAGAGAGAGAGAGAGAGAGAGAGAGAGAGAGAGAATAGGCTAGAGTTGAAAATGTGTCCAAACAGCAGCAAGTGGGCAGCTGCCCAGCAACTGGGGAATTAATGTCACAGCGCCAAGTGCATTCGTAAATCCTCGGCCCATTTCGAAGAGCTGAGTGCCTAACGCTCGTATAATTAATGGGCCCCAACCGGTAGCCCACAAATATTTATGCGGCTTGGGCTTATCTTAATTGGATTTGTGTGCTTGATTTGCCACGATTTCGAGTGCTCATTTAGATACCAGATATCAGATACCAGATACCAGATGTCCCCATTTCAAATACAAACACATCAGCACGTCATTTACACAATTTTTCCCATGGATTGCATTTCTTTCTATTGCAGGAGGGCTTTGCTGACGCGCCGTCGACTTCATCGATCAGTCGGCTGCTGAGGGGCAACGATCGCAGCAGCGAAGATGGACGCAAGGACTACACAATCCATGGCATACTGGGCGGTAAGTGTGCAATTCTATAATAGATACGAATTTTAAAATACACATTGTAGCATATTTCTGTATTCCATATATGCCGCACTACGAAAATTAGTGATCATTTATTTGATATGTTTGATGTAATTTCGTAAAATCATTCCCAAATCATTTGTTGCTCAAATCAACAAAGTTGATGTCGGCAACGGCCCTTTGATCGTCTTAGAACGAGCGACTTAAACTTAAATCAAAGCCGCTCAAAATATTACAATAGATCTCTCTGGGCCATACGATAACGATCGCTGGTTCGATCGCTCGCTCGATCGTTCGGTCGGTTGTTCATTTCGTTGTGTTGGCAATACAAACGGTCCAAAATAGGTGTAGATGATGACACCTGAGAATCAAAAGTACACGAGATTCCAGATCCCATCTCTCTCTCTCTCTCTCACTCTCTCTATCTCCTTCAGATCAGCTAATAACCCGGTTTTCCAATTGCCTTGCGTGAGACCTCGACTCTGACTCCGACTTCGACTTCGACTCTGACACTGACTCCTACTCTGCTCTCTGGACGGGGCCAATAATCATGCTAAATATGCAAAGTCATTCGATAAACGATCGGCGGGGGTCAAAGCGTTCCCCTTTCTGGGTTTACGACTTTCTGCCTTCAAATTGACTAGAAAATTGTCTGTTTCTTCTGCCTGTATTGTTGCTGTTGCTATTGCCGTTGCATCATTAGAGGCAGGTTTTTACTGTACTTTAGCCGACATTTGAATTCGTTCCCTCCTTGCCAATTGTCCAATTTGCCGACGGCCTCTCTGATATTTGCCGAGCCATTTCTGTCACAACACAAACACCTCTCACAATGACTCAGTGGGTGACAGTAGAACACGCACGCCGCCAGGGTTGTCACCTTGACTTTGGATGCCATTAAATGGCCTCAATGGTTGCGGCTTGCATTTGCTGAATGAATATTTACGATGTTTTGGGAGTTTCCCAACCTTGAGCAAAAAGAAAGCAACTGTTGTTATTTTCCGGTCTGTCGACATTGAACAGAGATTTTTACTCATCTCATACCTCTGGCATGCTGTGCGACAACTGTTCTTATCTGTGTGCACATAGGGTGTACAATCTGTAAGATGTTTGTAGCAAAAAGAAATATTTAGCATATTTTTTAAATATTCTTGCAAGGCAATAAAATATTAATAAAAAAATTATAAAAATTATAAAAGAGTATATATATAATATTTACTCCTATGATCATGATATAGCACATTAATTTTATCACAGCAAAAAATGAGCTAAGCATTACTTTGATCGACTATATAGAGAATTTATTATGAATTTCCGTGACCCTTGTCAACTGTAAGCTCTACTCTATACCCACTTATTTATTCAACTTCTAACGATATTTTGTATATGCATATCGGTCTCCCTCATTTAATCGTTTAGCCGTGCTCTGTCAGCACCTGTATGCCTAACCCATTTAGCCAGCCTCCAAATGGTGGCTCCAATCGTACAAATGCCAATTACTAAACATAATCTATATAAATTCAAGACAAGAGCTATCATTATGCTGTCGAAGCGTATAATAAGCACACGCCTTCCCATCATCATTGCCATTGCCGAACTCCCAGAGAAGAGAGCTCAACCAATTCCCTTTTGCTCGTAATGATGCATCCGTCATTATGTTCACCTGGTCAGCGCGACCTCATCCTCGTCCTGGGACGCACAATCAGAATGCAATCGGAACAACATTCACAGAGACACAYTCACMGTGGCGAGCCTGTGSCCSGGCATCCGAGTGGAGCGGGAGGCCGAGTCGGTGCCTTTGCCTGTAATCAACGCCTTCTCTCGTCCGGCTGCGGCGGGGCTAAGCGGGGCTCTCAAACGAAAAATTATGCATTATTAAATATATATTTCTTCGTCTCGTATTTCACTTATAATTTCGTTTGATTTTGATTTTGTACAATTTATACAATGCGGGGTCCCAGAGCCCCAACCGTTGACCAGATGCTGCATTGTCGCTGGCTGTGTTTAGCGGCGGCTCGCTTTGATCTTTCGTACACACAGCAAACGCGGCCAAAAGATGGGGAAAATCAAATAATAACTGAATAAAAACGCACACACACACACAACATCTCAGAGATGATATTTGTGTGGGGGCTTGTAACTGACCGAGATGAAGGCGCAGCTACCGAAGCTCTTGGTGACAACAACAATAATATATATATTTATAAAAGTTTGGGGCAGGGGGAAGCCCGAAAATGTATCAAAAGATGTTATTGAGCCGTTTTCATTTATATATGCCGACACGCGTTCCAAGTGAAGAAAACCAATTAAAATTGCATTACATTAGACGCTATATTATTTAATAGGCGATGTAAGAAATATGAAGATTTGATTTCTATGATATGTATGTTCGAGCCGTTAAATATAAATAAGAATAGAAAATAATATATTTTTAATCAAATGGAATCGATCTTGCTCTTGTTAATCTTTATAGAAATATAGAAGTTTATAATCACATAGGTGAATAGCGAGTTTGCACATACCATCAGTCCATTTCTTGGCTAAACACCTCGAGCAGATCTAATTTATAACTTCTATTTGGACGGTAGACGATTCAGCATAATTAATTTTGGATCGTAGCTAAAAGCCGATCAGTTACTGAGAGTTAAGATTCCACTACGAACTATAGTTGTTGCAGCTCTCTGAGCCGAAACGCAAACCCATTTTAAATATGTGGTTCTTCGTGCCTCTGGACACGCCCTGACTTGAAAACTCTTTATACATAGTCGAAATTACCAGATGAATTTCACATTCTGATGAAGAGTTTCTTACCATTTCATTTAATATCAATCAAGATCTAGATTTGTTCAGCAATTGCAATTAAGCTTTGTTTCATTTGTATAAAAAAAAAAAAAAAAAAAAAAAAAAAAAAACAAACTAAAAATATAATGCTTTTTTGTACTCATTTATTTATTTATTTTGAATATTTAA